GTTAATTTTCAGTTGACGAACAACAAATTACGAAAGCTGACCAAGAAACAATTTTCCTAGATTACGAAGCTACCATACTCAGGTACTTTTTATGAGTTTAAAAATGAACATGTTCTTCATATTTTCAATGAGATGGATCATCAACCTATTCTTACTGGTGTCAGCCTATTTCACAAGTCGAGTCTTCCATGTGTTTGAAATTTTCTCTTTGGCATTATACTACGATGCTTGACTGGTCATAGTTCTAGGCTAGATAAGTCAAAATTAGATGTGGATGTGATAATTGTTGGTCTTTATTTGTCACAACTAGGAATTCTGATGCTTTGTAAACACTTAACAAGGATAACATTGTAACTAAAACTTGAAAGCATGTATGATGCTTATTTAATGACAACAAAATTTCATCAAACACCATGTACAAACATTCAAATAGTCAACAAAATGTTGGAAACCCTAGAAATCCCGGTTTAAGTCCATTATGGACTAGGATTTCATTATTGGGCCTAATAAACCAATAAGCCTCCAATTTTACTATTTTGGGCCTAGAACCCTTAAATGGGCTCTAATTGGACCCACTTTCATAAAATTTAACATTTTAGGCCATAATGAGCCTAAAATGAAATAAATTACCCTAATGGGCCTTAACTAAATTAATAAGCTTTATTAGGCCGTAAAATGCACTCTTTTAAAAATTATTGGGCCTATGATTTTGAACTAGTGCAACTAATGGCCCAAAATACTCAACTCCTTTCCCCTAGCCCAATTCTCGACCCACACCCATGATATTAATAAATAAATAAAAGGGAGAGAAGTGAATTATTGAGGTTTAGACACCTAATCTTTATATTTTGGGTATCCATGCACCATCCTCTCATCCCCATGCACCATCACTTCATCTATTTATCTCTCTCGTCTTCTCTCCTACTCTCAGAGGAAAGTAGACACACACACACACATATTTCATTTCCAACTCTTTCCAAATTCCCTCAAGAACACTTTCATTCCTCCATCAAAATTTCGAGATCTAGGGTACTTCAAGGAGGTTCTTCCATAAGAAATCATCATCATTGGTAAGTTGTACTTAGATCCATGGTTTAGTTTCTTGATTTTTTTATAAATCTCCTTCTAACTCATGAAAATTCATGATCATGCTTTTTAGAACCTATCTAAGCCAAAGTCTTCTCAAGAAGATTTCTAGGGCCGAAATTAACATCAAACTCTTCCATTCTTTCTTCAAAATCGAAAACAGCAAACAAAGGTGAGTTCATACCCCTCTATTTTCAGTTTTCACATGTTTTATGAGGGAGAATACAAGTAAAATGTGTAGATCTATGTGTATTTGAATGTTATGTGTGATTTCTTGTATTTATGTGGTAAATATGTGCCAAAAATGAAAAATATTTCGAGATCTATAGTTCAAGGAGGAAAAATATGTGATATAGGATGTATTACACTTAAAACGTTAAGAAATATTATCATTAAGGTTATAATAAGCATGTTACAATAGAATTTTTATGAACATTATGCATTTCAAAGGACTAAAAACGTAAATTGTAGCCTATTGGGCTAAAATTTTGGGCTTTTCGGCCCATAGGCCCAAATTTGCAAAAAATATGGGTTTTAAGGGGCTCAAATGGTAAATTTCTCAAAATAGTGGGTAGAAAAGTAAATAAATCTATTTCAGGGGTTAAAATGACCCTTTTCGCCAAAAAGGATTAAAAATGTAACGTTTTTGGATTTTGGGTCAAATTTGTAAAAGTTGCGAAAAGTTTGGATTATAAATGAAAATCTTTTTACTAAAGGGTCTGAAACTGCCAAAAAGTAAACATTGGGCTGAAAACATTATTTAAATAAGTCTTTGGGCCAAAATGTCAAGAAAAAATAGTTTAGGGACCTAAAATGTCATTTTTCTATAAAAAGGGACTAAAATTGTCATTTTGACTAAAGAAGTGCTGAATAGGTCAAACCAACATTTTTGAGTCAATTATTGTATTATTATGATATTTGGGTTAAAAATACCACATTATAACTTATGAATTTAGAATGAAAAATATACATATATTTTCATAAATCTGAATATCATTATAAAACAATCAACAAACTTTGCGCCTTTGCGATTCAACAATTGTTTAAACAAAATTCTCGGCATTTATACTATGCAAAACAAGTAAACATTCATAGTGTTGGGCTTGAAAGATTCTAATCATGCTTATTGGGCCTTCGTGACCCATTAACATGACTTTTGGGCCTAACATAAATAATACATGTTTATTGAGCATCCTGTGGCCCAATTACATGCTTAAGGGACCCTCAATGGCTTTTACATGCTATTGGGCCTCAGTGACCCATTAGCATTGCTAGTAAGGTCCAAATAAATCATATGCGAAGTAGGCCAACGCGCCCTTCGTATACTCGACAGCCTTAGATAACATATGTGATTAGTGGGACCTCGTGGTCCTCTTCTCCTCGTCTGTTAGGCTTACCTTCTATTTAAGTAAACAAAAATCAAGTCGTTAATCAAGGGTAATCAAATTCATTTGGATTAAGTGAGTAATAATGGGCGACACCATTAAGTGTCAGTCGTAGTCTGTAGTTATAATCAAAGTCTCCTGGAGGGAGAGCGAGAGTTTGTGTATAGATCTATACGGGGGTGACTCCCCCACACCTAAGTTGTTCGCTACAGTTAGACTCGGCCAATCTAGGGTGACAAAATATTAAGATCAATTCTGGCGTTCACTAGAATGCCATGACATACGAACTAGTCATTATCATGCATGGTTATAATGACTCACATAAAGATCCAATACCATCTAAGTAATCAAGCGAAATCATATTCATTCGTTGTGATGATATAAAAGTACAAAACGATTATACTATTTTATCGGAAAACATTGGGTTTTTCGGGGAAATCAACATTATACACTTGTACTTTCAATAACTTTAACGCAAAACCTCTCATTTATACACGTTTTGAAATCATTCATGCATATACCTATGGATCTTCACACTTTTTGTATAAACAATTGTCGTTTCAGAAAATATCGGATTTTCTGGGTATTATAAACTACACAAAACATTTTCATATCAAACTGCTTATGAACTCACCAACATTCTTTATGTTGACGTTTTCAAAATAACTTGTATTCTCAGGAAACAGATAAACTGAAGAACAATACCAAGTGTATTAGGATGTTATGTTTTGAAAACTCTCAAACAATTTATGCTATGGAAATGTAATATTTAGACAATGTACTTGATGTGAACAATGTCAGTTATAATATATTAATGCATGGTGATGTTTATGTTATGTTTCATGTATATTAATTGTGATGATATTTCAATTTAAGCACGTGTGCCCTCGGACGTTTCCGCCGTCTGGTTCGGGGGTGCGACATTATTATGATCTGAATGTGGACTATGTGACTCAATTATGGGAGGAGTTTGGTACTGCAATTACTTGCACCAATGTAGCGAATGGGGATTCTCGTGCACGATATTGGAGTCTTATTCTCAAGGAGGCATATGAATAGGAAGGAATTTTGGTTCCTTTAGAAGATGAGAATGCTGACTTTTTTATTATGCAAGCCCTTAAATTGGTTGTTGATGATCTGATGATTTTTCCAAATGTAGCTTGAATTCCTGATACCATGCTTAGAAGAATTGATCCTGCGAACCTACTTCTAGTTCAATACTTGGCATCAGTTGATACACGTGTTTCTGTTGGGTTTTATTTCCAAATGGTGTTGACGGTTCTTCAAAACTTGTTAAACCCACAAAGAATAATCCAAAGGTTGCGAAGCCTCCACTAGTTCAAGAACATGATGACGAGGAAGTGTCTTAGGAGGTAATTCCATCGAAAACTGGTATTCTCAAACGCACCAAGAAGCCAGTCAAGAAACCTCATCAGTCACCTATCAGGCCTTCAATCCAAGAAACAAGAAACTGGTATTCTCAAACGCACCAAGACTCTTTCATCAGTCTCCTACTTCTCCTGCATCAAACAAGCGACATTGGATATGGCTCAAGAGTTACAGAAGAAGAACAAGAAGAATCAAGATGGTCTTGATCAGGTTACTGTCGATACCGACCATGACAGTGAAAGTGATAATCATAATGATAATTTTGGGCTTGGTATGCCTCTAAGAAATTCTCCTAGGAAATCGAATTTTGAGGAAACGGGAGATCCTAGTGTCAATATAAACATATCTAATATGGATACAAACACCAATTCGAGCTTTCCCTCATCTAAATCCATCCTAAGAAGACTTTAGTTAGACCACCAATGTTTTTCAAACTACATCCAATATGGAGGAGGTTTGAACCTCGTGCATCACTATGAATGTATCTGATATGGACACAAATGTCACTATGGGTGAAGGGGTGTTAAATAACGAAGCCTTAATTACTTCATTTGTTGAAACATCAACCAGTTCTACACCTATCATTATCTAATCCACCTTTGACACTTCATCCATTGATATATCAACTACCTTACCACAATTTTCTTCAATGATTCCATCTTTACTTCCTGTATCCACCATTTCTCCAACTTATTCCACGATAATGCATGAACAAATCACTACTCTCTTCTCCTTGCAATCAACTGAAGTATAGAGACTGGTTCAAGAGGAAGAACCAAACCATGATGAAGTTATGGTTTATTTTGCTGAATTACAGTTTGATCCAAAGGAGGAAAATGTTCCTAATAACATGCTGATGTAAGGTAAATAGTTCAAGATCCTCAAAAAGAAACTCAATTCTTCGTTAAAGATCCAAGCAGATACTAGGGGTCGAATTTTTTTGTTGGGATCAAAGTGGAATACTTGTTAAAGTCACAAGAGAATCGTCTAGGAAGTATGGTGGAGAATATTGAAAAGAAATATGTTGAAAGACTAGAAGTTCACGCTAAACACTCTGAGTACGATTTTCAAAAGCTTTTAGATGTTTCTAAGGAATGTCATGAAGTTTTCATTGAGCAAGTGTAGACTGTGCAAGAGTCTATGAATCTCAAGATGGTTGAACTAAAATTGGAGATGACGAAAGAGCTTTCGAAGATTGAGAAAAATAGTTCTGACTTACATGGGAAAGTGAATGTTCTTGGTGATGCTCTGGCGAAGTCAGTTGAATACAATACAATTTATTCAACTACACTTGATGAGAAGTCACCAAAGGATTCCAAGGTGTTTTCTCAATTAGAGGAATTCTTCACTGGTGTCAAGGACTCCATTACGAATGTTGCTATTTCGTATAAATCTTATGTTTCTCTAGAATCAATCTTGTAGTTTTTTTCGACTTTTAAAACAAATCTCAATGCTGAACTAGCTCCAATCCTTGAGTTGGTTCCTCTTTTACCAACTAATTCTCCACGTGCGAAGTTGGTGCCACGAGGGGGAGATAAAGGACGTGGAGATGTTGAATCTTTGAAAGATACAAATGAAGGAGAAGTTGTTGGGAAGGTGATGACTACTCATATACCTACTTCACTTCTTGTTTCATTAACAAGAACCTCTACAACAACTACAACAAGAACGATTGTGAAAGGGGTAGTTATTGGTGAAAGAGCTGGAGGTTCTGATTCAAGCTCAATGAAACATCCTTCGAAAGATGGTCAGGGAGTCAAAGGGAAAGGTGTACTGGTAACTCCTTCTAATGATGAGAAAAAGAAGCAACATGCCTTGGATATCGAAAGGCAAAGACAAGTCAACAGTATATTAAGAAGGAAAAATGACCCGCCAGGCTTGAGTAAGGGTAATCCCAGCAAGCATTGGTGTTTCGAAACCATTGAGGAGATTGTTTCGATAGGGAAGTTTGATTATTTAAGAAAAACACAAAGAAGAGTTATGATGTTGAGAACTCTGACATTAATCAACTTGATTTCCCGATAATTAATATGATGTTTATTTATGCATAATACAAGTTGGTTGATCAGTTTGATGGCAAAGAAGAATAAAAAAGACTAAAAATGTGATTTCATGCATTCTTGGGGAAGACAGAGGAGGATGACAAGCGTTCAATATCTCATGAGAAAACTTGTTTGAAGGTTTACTACAAAATTTTTGCTATGTTGTTGTCAGAGAGAATAATGTAATATGTGGTCTTTGGATTGCTAATTTCCCTCCTTTGAAATTAAATGACTTTATTAATGTGACAAGGATTTTAAGTAGTGCTAATTTTTCGAAGTTGCAAGAGAATAACAAGGATGATTTTCTCATCGTATTTGCTTATATCAAGGTGTTCATTGCTAACTACTATGATTGTCTCTCAATCATATGTATTGAGCTGGAAATGGCAGTTAAACGGACCTTGAAGGTTCCTCAGTCACTATTGAAAGAGAAGATTAACCTCAGCAAATATGTAAATGGAGAAACTGTGCATCAACCTTTGGGAGTTGTTTTTCAAGGAAACATCAATAATGGGAAAATGACTATGTTTTTTATTTTAAGTATTTTATGTGGAGATGTATACGAATTCCCAGTATAGAAGCTTTCTTGTTCGACTTAATAATTGCAAATGGAATAATGAAGTTAACAAGGCTGAGATTCGAAAGACAATCATTTGGTATATAGAGGTTCATGGTATACTTCTTCAGACATTGAATCTTATGGCATAATTCAACTTTTGTCACTAAGGGGAGACTGTAGGGTACAAAATGTATAGTGACAAGTCGAAGGGTTATTAAGTTTGTTTAGATGCGAAGGATTTGTTTCGCTATATATGTATTTCCCAAGCTTGCTTTTGATGTCGAAGCGTAATGTATGGTCCTTGCATATTTTTTGAGGGTTGGAATCACTCTATAAACAGAGTAAGTATAGGAGTAGAGAGTAAGTTGTTGGGATTGTTCTTTGTTGTACTCTCTCAATAACTCTTGTAATCATACAGAGCATTAACGAGCGAAGCAAATCTTAATTACTTATCTTGTCCTTATTACTTTTTGTACTTGATTTCTTTATCATTACTCAATTCAAAACACATGAAGGGTTTCATCCGAATTACACGGATATTGTCATCAAGATCATTCAAAAAAATTCATTAGCATTTCATTAGGATGATTTGCCAAGGTATATGCATCACCAAATGCTATTCTAGCAGCAAGGTACATTACCATTTCATAACATTCTGTAACATCATCTAAAAGAAATTTACTCAATGAAGACCAGAATAAACCTTAAATAAGTTGTGTTGGTAAAATAATTATTCTCTTTAATGTATCACTCCATTCTTTTATCTGTTTTTGTTGCTTCTTTATGCATAATATTCAGATTTAAAAGAAAACAAAAAGATTATGATGTCAGTCGAGCATGAGTCCCAAATTACTTGCCAGAATATTGCAGTCGTTAGCATCGGTTTCCTTCATCATTTTCCATCATATATTCACAAAACGAAAATATAATGTCCAATATGAAATTATAATCATATTCTCAACTTCATTCGTGCCCTATTCAAAGTAAGTAGTAGGTTCCTTCAAATTACCATCCAGACCATCATCAGTTAAAGATGGACCATCTACATTAAGAAAAATGGTTAATCAGTAAAACATGTTGTTCTCAATTTTTTTTTAACAGCTAGACTTCAATTAAAACAACTAAAAGTTGGAATTACATGGTACAATACAATGGGTTTTCAACCCAAAAGTTCGAAATCAAATTCCTACCCCATTTCGCTCTACTCCTAATCCATAAAAAGGCCTAAGCCTTAACATCATAGGCTAAAGCTAACGAACTCTTTACCTTAGTGTTGGTGTTGAAGATCACGTCATTCCTATAATTCCATATAGTCAATTACAAATGATATAGATATCGCTTCTAAGGTGTCTAAATACCTACTTCCCACTTTTACAGTAGCGTTTCCCCAACAAGTCTTCTAAAGAGTCCATTGAGGTAGGAAAATCATTCCACCAAGTGTGTATATGCCCATGAATCTCCAGTGTCTTGGAACATTTCTTAAATATGTGTACCTAGTTCTCTTCGAAAGCATTGCATAAAGGACAAAAGGTGTTAGGAATGTTTACTCCTCTCCGTGCAAGGTTTAATCTGGTGGACAATCTGCCAAGTCTCACCCGCCATATAAAGATATTTATTTTCCCTGGAACCACCTTGGACCAAATGGTTGGCAAGTTCGTACTCTTCAATTGTTGAATGTCGATTTCCTTTCTTAGAGTAGACACTGTATACTCCCCTCCTTCCTTAAGACTACATCCCCAATTATTTTAGATAATAGTACCTCCGGTGTCAAAAATCCTTTATAAAAGATTATTTAAATCTAAGTTGTATTGTTCTAAATCGATGTTGACTTTGCTAATTCTTCCCCAAACCGTGTTCATGATAGCGAGAAATTGACACACCCAGACCACCATGAACCCCATATATGGTAGTGATAACGTTTTTCCATATCGAATTTGAGTTCTCTCTAAATATCCACCACCATTTCAAAAGAAGTGCAAGGTTAAAAGCTCTTAAGCTCCCAATTCCCAAGCCTCCGTGATCGTTGGAGTTCATCGTTTTCCCCCATGCAATCCACGTGATACCCTTGTTACCCGGAGCATTTCCCCAAAGGAACGCGTTACAGATACTTTCAAATTTAACAATAACACTTTTTGGAACTTTATAAATGGAGAAAAGGTAGGAACCAAGGCTACCAAGAACAGACCTAACAAGCATCAACCGACCACCAATGGAGAGAGTTCTAGCTTTCCACGTTGAAAGTTTATTGTTAAATTTATCCAACAGAGGGATCCATGTGTTAACTCTATTCGGGTTTCCACCCACCGGCAAGCCGAGGTAAGAGAACGGAAGCTCACCTACAAGACACTTGTACCACCTTGCCATGGAAGATACCTCCTTATATGGGACACCAATACCCAATAATTTGCTTTTGTGTAAGTTGACTTTTAGGTCGGAGGCTAAATGGAAACAAGTGAGGAGTCTTTTTAGGTTTTTAGCATTATTCCTAGACCATTTTCCCAAGAAGATTGCATCATCAGTGTGACAACCCAGAATTTCTACCTTGTGCACTTATTCAAATCAATCAAGGTCAAACTCGTTTTTGCTATCTTTTGGCATTATTTAGAGTCGATTTGAGTGTACTAAATCTAGTATAATCAAGGAATCAGGCTAGGAATCAGTGTATATGAGTTCAACACCTTTAAATTGAGCCAAACACCCCTTTAAGAGGTGTGAGAGGCCGCACACATGAGTGTATGGCCGTACACTCATCCTAGCCATACATATATGCATTTACGACGCGTCTTTACGATACTCATTTACGCATAATACCAAAATATGTAAACAAATATATACCAAAGCAATTAATTTCATCCAATAACATCATGTGAAAATTTTTTAATACATTGATATTAAGGGGATCTAATTGTACATTGTTATTAAGAGGTTTTCCATAACTATATAACCTAATACTACATTGCTATTCACCTTCTACAATGTAATGCTATACAAGCTAAAAAGATATACACAAAGTCCAACTAAGTAGAGTTGCGTCTTGCCTTTCATAATTCTTGTGACCTGATCAAATAGAAGTCAAAAGATTAATATGCTAATATAATTATTAGAAGAAGCAAACATGGAATGTTGGTTGTAAAAGACGAAATTACCCTTTTCTCCATCCAAAGAATGTGGGACCGCACTTGAGATATGATATTTGATCCATGTTGTTTCACCACCAATAGATAATAAAAAAGAGTACAAATCAAAAGTTGAAAGTGTGTATACATAAAAAAGAGTATGATTCTTTAAAACTCACTGGGGATTGTAAATCTCATTACAGGTTCCATTATTAATCATGCTCAAGAAGTCCCATACTTCATGTTGCTCACCGATATTAGCAATAGACCAAAAGCTCGTTCAAAAAAGCAATTTTTTTTCATATATAAAATTGATATATCATAAACAAACCTAGTTTTGTTATCAACATCAGTCACTGCAATTGAATAGACTACAAAGGATTTTGAGTCAATATTCTGAAAGAATGCTCCTAGAACCTGTATTTACATAAGAACCTACAAACAAGGAAACAAATTAACTCCATGTATGGGCAATCTTGGAAACATATACAAGTAACCGAATTGAATTAGCACGTGCAAACCAACATGAAGAACAAAAGTTAGATTAAGAGGAGCAAATGACCTTTTTACCCTTACATGAAAATTATGGAACACAAACCTCAGATACTAGTCTTTGTCTTCCTTCAATATCAGCAACCAAAGTATGCCAATCATCACCAGATACCTCCATTGGAGACCTAGAAAAAGGTTGAACATGATGTCTTT